ACGATCTCGATTCCATTATCGCCACTCGATAAATCCAACGGGGGCTTATTACGAACCTGATCACAGGAAGGGCTTAATTCTATTGCGTTCAATACCGATTACCTTTAATTTCTATTGCCTTTGGTACAGTCTGGTCGAGTTTTGGTTAGGTGAATTTTATTATCTTTTATTACTCTTTCTGTTTATGACGTCAAGCGACATGTCTATTCAAATTAGTTGCAATGACACTGAGGTCGAAATTGTAAAGATCTGTGGGGCATTGCCAATGCGCCCGACACTCTCAGACTTACATTGTTAAGTTCCATATGCCTGTGATTTCACCAGCACCCTTTCTCTTCTAAACAGGAACGTAGTAATGTTCATATTACTGCTTGGTAGTAAAAATAGGTAAGAAAATAAAAAGTAAATAAAAAAATAAATAAATAAAAATAGTGAGGTAAATCGGTATTAAAATTGTACTCAAATCTTTTAGCCCGTGACGCAAAGCGGAGGAAGTTACAAGCAGCCTGTGCCAGTCTGTGGCATCATAGGTCCTAAATGGATGGACTGATGTCAAAGGTATTACTTACCTACTTGAAAGCTAATTTAATTATGGTGGTTCTTAGGTATGTTTGATAAGTACGTGTTTAACATGTTTAAAGATCATTTGCTCTTATCCCGGTAAGTCTAGGGATGTCTGTCAGAAGATATATATTAATTTTATTACCCTAACCCTTCAAATCAGTTAATTATTCTGACGTGAGGCTGTGATTCGACGTTTATAAATATAACATACGTTTCATCACCAGACGGGTTGCATCATTCTAGAAGAAGAGCTTTATTAGCCTTCTTCGTAAAGCGAGTATCAACTAAACTACAAGTAATAAAAAAAATTTCACAGTCCTCTCGCGAGTAATCAAAATTGGGGCTTCTGTTTTGAAGGCCAAATCTTTGGAAAAACCTCTCTCTGTTTAATTACACGGAAGTAAGAAGAGGTCATCTGTTTATCACAACTGAATGAATCATGAGTAAGGTTCCTTTTTTCTGGTCAAAATTTAAATAAAAATTTCGTGACGTGTTACTCTTTCACCGATCCCTTTATTTGATGTCCAACCACGCTGAAGTTAGTGGAGGTGACTGTACCCATAGGCGTACTTGATTGGCTTGCTGATCGCTTTTTAATCTGTCAAGGGATTTTAGATTATGAATCAATACCAATGAAGATAATAATGCTCAATCGAGGATTATTTCTTCAAGCACTGATTTTATTCGGAAATTAAAATTGAAGAGAAGGTTTCTATATATTATCAATTTCTTGATCTTAAACTACGAATACAAGAAGAAAAAAATTTACTCGATATTCGTTTCGTTCATTGGTCCCGCCAGGATCAGAATAGAATAGAATAGAAACCATTTATTGCAATGCCACATTATAAGAAAAACACAAAAAGTCAAATATAAAAAAAAAATAGAAATAAAACAACAACAGCGTAGCAAACATTTATACAACAAGTTATATTGTATAACATAACACTATACTGACATGTGTGTGACTGTGGCGTATACAAAAGGATCTCATTCAGCTAAAGTCACAGCCGAAAGAAGGTTGTGACGCTGGTTTTCAATGGACCCTAGCCGAGTAAGTAACGGACGTGTGCGTCGCGAAGAGGAAATAAAATAAACTACTAAATAATTATTAATACAAAGATTGAACACTAACAAAAAATACTTTCTTTGAGTGAAGAAATAGATTTCTCAAAGATGGCGCTACGCAGGTTCGAGTACCAAATTAAAACAAAAAACTAAACCAGACCTTACTCCGCCAACAGTCTCTTAATTCACTTCTACAATTATCATTACAAACCAACGGCATCTGATTTCAATCAAAAGCAATTGAACCATCTATGTAATGGGCTCCAATTCTGGCTCATTATGTATTCTATTAGTTTTACACACGAATATATGCGACTTAGTGTACGAGGTCGGGAATGGGATTAAATTTAGACTAGCGTAGTGTTAAAGTTCGCTAGTTAGAGACGTCGTGTCTCATTAACATTATCAATTGCTTAAACCTACCTGAATGAGATTCCTTTTTTATGGACCTATAGAGATTATACAGCGATTCTACACAGCTACGCAGCACAAGAAACCCTCTACAGCTGTTAAATTAAATCATATCATTTAGATGATACAAGTCGGTATTATGGATAATAATAAAGAAGAGATGAACATAAACGACGATGAAGTGCTCAATCAAAGTTTGAAAGTTAAAGAAAGATAAAGGCAAAATTGAATAAACTGAAAGTCTTACCTAGAAACCTGCATTATGCAGTGTTTTTTTTTTAAATGGGACAGTATGGGTAAATCCGAAACCATAGAAGATACAAGTAAACTTACCTTAGGAACCATCGACTTCTTTTTTGTGAAAAAAATTTTGGCGTGATCAGGCGTGAGTTGTGATAAAAATGAATAAAATTGATCAAAATTTATTAGTGCTAATCGACTCAGATTTATGACGGGACCATTTCATTGTGTAGGATGAAAAAATCGGGACAGCCTAAGTTGGTTAAATTTCATAAAGAAATTTCATATATAATTTTTTTTTTTTTTTTTTTTTATACATGACAGGCAAATGACTCCACTCCACTTGATGTTAAGTGGAAAGTGGTATCCAAACGCGAAGGAACCTAGTGCAGCGATGGAATCCTCACTGCACTAGCCACCTCCACCCTGCCTGCCTACAATATGCCTCTTCACGCCTCGTTTGAAGGACCGTGTGACCATAATGAATAATGGAATAATTTTTTTTTGGACAAATCACGTTTGACCAAAAAATTGACTATGCCAAAGTGTGCTCACAAAAAAGGATTTAATTGTTCCTAAGACAGTTTCCTTCTATTTTGTATGGTTTCGAATTTCTCATACCCTCCCATTTAAAAAAGCACTGCATTCGTATACAACTTTGCAACTGGAAACAGATGAGTTAGATAAGATTACCTTTACGATAATGAGCACTTAATTTATATACATTATCAGTATACTACCACATCAAAATATTTTTTTTTATTAAAGAAGGCCGACCATCATTGCTATACAATACCAAGAAGATGTATATACCTTAATTTAGATATGATAAAATTAATATCATTCGTCATCGTGGTAAAGCTGAAACGTAAGTATGAAAAATTTGAAATTCATAAACAAATACAACGAACCCTTCAGTTAATACAGTAGCCTATTATATCGTCGGCCTGAAATTGCATAGACCAGACAGCGTGAGACATTTAGAACTGCAGGTGTTGCATTTAACATGACTGGATTCTATTAGAGGGGTGTTATAATAGTGGGGGGAAGTGATAATGAGGTAGGATAGGTGGGGATATAAATAAATCTGATAATAGTCTGGGAGACACGGATTGCAGTCGTTGGTTTATTAATGATAGCGATCGTATGACATTAGGTGTTTCTGTTACACTATTATAACCTGATTTTAAACCAGTTAAGTTAAAGATAGAAAAATGTGGCGAGAAACCACTCCGTGAATTAGAAATTAGCAGTGTCAAATTTGAATATAAACAACAAGTTTTGTAGGCCTTTCAGAACAGACTACATCTTCAGCAATAACAAATATGATATAAAAGAATAAATCCTATAACAATACCACTGTTAACTGCATGTTATATTTCGCTCAGTTTTCCTCCACAGCCAAAATAAGAATTTACATGAACGGCTTCATAAAGACCACAAGCAACGTCTGCATGTTCGTTAAGATGAATTTTCATGAAAACTTGAGATAAATATACTATTATTACAATAAGAAAATTTACATTAAACAAACAATCGTTATCTTTATTCATGAACACAAACCCACCTGTACGTAATTCAGTAACATTGAGGTAACATCCCATTGTTCGCGTGTCCCAAATGTTTTATTCCTTGTCCCTTTGTACGGATCTTTGTTGATTTAATTATGCACTCATCGTAACGCTTTTCATTCCCATTTGTCTTTTCTTTGTTGTGGATTCTGCTATTGCTTTTGTTGTGTAATTGCTTACAATTGTATGGGAGTGCTCTAAGGAGGTGATGTTGGGCCTAAATTGTTTTGTTTAAATAGTTATTACCATGATACTTTGATACAATTTGTGCGATAATGTTGAACAGTACCGAGTATTTATGTAGATTTTCTACAATGGAGTGCATTTACGAAGTCGCTTATATAAATTACCAGTAGAAAGTTCACAACAAACTTTAATGCAAAGTTTGATATTATAGTATGATTTATTGGAGAACCGAACGCTCTTTTTAAATTTTTTTATTTATTTATCTGAAATATGTAATTACTCCGTTAAAAACATACTAAATATTAAACTGTTCAAGACTAGGGATTGATTTTATTTCAATTCCTAATATTACCCCATGGAGCCATATTGAGTCCACCGGTTTTCTTTGAACACAAAGGTATTCGTATTTTATTTTTACCAAAATAAAGTGGCAGTAACTTATAATTTCATAATTCATAATAAATTAATTGTGTAATCACAGGTTTTATATAAGTTGATGTGAAAGAACATAAATATAGTTTCTCTGTGTCCGGCCAAATTTTAGGAATACAAACATTTTGCAGATATTTACTCGCATGCATTGAATAGACTAAATTATGTGTTACGTGTTGTAATAATATCGAACATGTGTGCACACAAATGGGTTAAATAATTTAAACGCAGTGATAGTTATTTGGGTCATTTTTAATGATAAATATTGTAAAATATAACTAGATGTTAAAATAATGAAAAGAGAGAGAGAGAAAAATACAGTTTGTGATTATTATATTCGATATGAAATTAGGTGTTTATTACTTACAAATTTGGACACAGCATAGTATATTATTCAATAACTTGCATAATTGCTTTTCATATAGCATATGTAGGTTTTTCTAAGATAGATATATAAGACTTTCCTTAACTGATTGTCAAATTTCGTGAACAAGTATGTGGAATTTTAAAAGAAAAAAGTACACTTACCTGTCCGCCATGTCTCCTTCAGGCCTATTAATAGGTCCATCCTTATTCCCCGAGTAGATGTAGATCCTGTTCTCAGACTTGTACCATTTAATACTGTGCATATCACCGCATGAGCTGACATCGATTCGGCATTTGATGCGAGCTGTTTCTCCTACTAGAGCCGATACGTGATCTGGTGACAAAGAAAAATAATGTTAAATATATTTTTAAAAGAGGTTGGTAGAATTCTTGCATGAATTGGAAACTTGGCATATTAACGTATAATTATATCTTGTATGAATGTGACTACCATGATAGTCTATTCATGAGCGCGTTTGCCAAATGGGCGAGCTGTTTTGCTTTTAAATTATGTACAGTTTTTGGTTATCAATTTTTTTAATAGTGAATACATAAAACATAAAATTCACGGAACGAACAAGACGTACGCCTGGTAAATGACACGCATGTCCATGACGGTTGCTGTGGCACTCAGGCTGTGCGCATCGTAAAGGAAGGCACAGCCACTGCGCCCGTTACCTCGAGACATAAAGTTGACAAGTCCCATGTGACTGTAATTTCACCAGCACCCTTACCCTTTAAAACCGGAACGCAGTAACACCGATGCCATGCCATGCATTTCACATGGCTACTTGTATTCGTTATTGGTTATTTGATGTACCTGGAAAAATATTTGGCGTACACACAAACTTGAAGACACTGACAAATATGACCGTCTGCACAGTTGAAATAACGATTATGACCATAGTGTGGACGGTTTATTTGCGTATTTGCCTATTTGGCTCCATTGATGTGCCACGTGGTAACGCGAGTTTGGTGTTTGCTGCATCTGTCGTATAGGCAAACAAGGCAAATATTTTGACACACATGCCATCTACACATGGTGATTGTTTGCCAAATATATCAAATACGCAAATACAATTAGACATGTGGAGTGCCATCATCACACCATTCAGTGCTAGAAATAGGTAAGGTAGCTGTACTTCCCTGGACCAACTCTTTCACAAGGAGCTCTACTGCTACTATATAACCCCGGGGTAGACCATGAAGTACTATAACGTTGGCATAGTATAGGAAACCATGTCATTTTCGTCAATTACCGACACACCACAACCAACACTTCCTAACATTGAAGCGGAAAATAGCTGCAAAACTTGCACACCATTTGTAAAATATGAGCATACTCAGCCACTTTAGGCATGAACTTTTAAAGACTTCAAACTTTACCCTCAGACTTAAACTTTACGTGATCGTTTAATCCGGATTAATATTGTTAAGGCTTAGCTTCAGCTTTTTGATTCAAAGACGTTCTTAAAACATTGTGGTGGAACGTAATTCTTTTGTAGATACATAGATAACCACGTAATTTTCGTTTAAAATTTCATTACATTCATAATATGAGGAAGTATTGAGAATGGTAAACGGAAAGAGAACTATCCTGAATACTATAAAGAATAGACTCGGGAAAATGATTGGACACAACAACTCCTTTTAGAAGGAAAAATCGAAGGGACGAGGGGAAGAAGTCGAAGTGCAGCTACATAGACCAAATAAAGGAAAAGGCCGGTGCCGTGTCATACTCCGGCGGGAGACAGGCATGATGATATATTTATTAACAGTAGAGTTACTTATCAAAGAGGTCGTCCAGGGATGTACTGTACCTTACTGTGTGTAGTGCTGGTGAAATTACAGGCACAAGGGGACTTGTCAACTTATGTCTCAAGGTGACGAGCGCAGTGGCAGTGGCCCTAAGATCTTTGCGATTTGAAGCTCTGAGTGGCAATGCAACTGTTGTGGGTAGGCATGTTGCTTACCATCAGGTGCACGACTTGTTTGTCCCGTCATTTGGTATTATGAAAAGAAGTATCTACGTACGTACTACGCTCCTGACAAACCTCCTTCGTCTCCTTCACTCCCATCAATGTCTTCATACATGCCCTTTTATTCTAGGTTTTTTTAACGCCGTCTTTTATTAAGGACATCCTCAATCTGATTGACATGCGTGGGGCGCACTATAAGTTTCCGGAATTAATAAGAAGAAAATACTATAAATGGTCAGAATTTATTGTTTCTCTAAATATTCTCCGTTCGCGTTAATGCACTTTTTTTTATACGAATGAACCAATTTTGAAAACGTTTATGCCACTCCTCCGTGACAATCCCTGAAACATATTTTTCATACTCTTCGACAGCCTCTTCAGGTGATGAAAATCGTTGACCGCGTAACTGGTTCTTAATTTTTGGAAATAAATAATAGTCACAAGGTGCCAAGTCAACGTTGTTCACCTTCAAAAATTAATTTGTCTGTCTGGCTGTGTGAGAACTGGCATTATCGTGGTGCAAGATGATATAGCGTTTACGGTTATTTTTATGGAGTTTGTCAGTGACGTCCGGCAAACAAATGGTCGTGTACCAATCACTATTCACGGTATAACGATTTATTAAAAAAAGAAGCATTACATAATAATACTGACCTAGGAAAATTCTATAGCTACTTGGCAGGTTAGAAGACAATCACCATAAAACTAGTTTTCCAAAATGTAAAGGAACACTGCTGTGTATTGCCTAGCGAATTCTCCAACGGGTTTTACGATACATATAAAAGGAAATAGACTTAAGAAATGGCGGGGAGTCAGGGATTCAGTACTACAGATAGCTCCGAGGAGCTTTAATAAGACCATTGGAAGGTGGGGGTAAATCGTCTAGATATGTTCTTAAAGTGGTATCATGCCCACTTAGGAACCACTCGCTACAGATACTAACCAGGATTAGTAAAAATTCATGAACGAAAACAATTCTGAAATAAAAATTGTTTAAAATTTAACTTGAAATGGCACTAGAAACTTTTTAAAAAGAGTTTATAGAACACTGGAACTGCATTTCAGTTTGAAACAAAACAATGGCGGCGTTTGGACACCAAAATGACAGGCAGTTTATTTACAGATGGATGTTGTTTAATAAAAGGCATCGAGTATATAACCAGAAATAGAGACGAAATAAGGGCCTTGCATTCCTGGTAAGTCGTCAATGATATATCACTTATAAATATCAACTCTCGTTTGTACTGAAATATAGACAGCGCCAACAACTGACCTGTGTATACGTCTCTGTATATTCCAAAAATATTCTGTATTTATTGCAATAAAGATAATATCTCTAACCATGGCGTGCTGTCCCATTTGGTGGTGTGAGGAAAAACAGCAAAACACCTGATTACAAAACAAACGGAATCAAATTTCATCCATAATTAAATATTAAATATGTAATCTTGCAAGCTAATTGGTCGATTTGTAGTGAAACAATTGACACCCATTGACGACACCCGTCAATTGTTTCGAATTCGGGCTGGCCAATCGGAGCGCAGCTGTCACCGTAATGATATGGCAGCATAGTTTTAAAACAGATTAAACGACAATGCGTCTCTATTTCTGCTTATATTATTATACTCGATAATAAAAGGTAAAGGAAATACTGACTTTGGTAAATACTTTTTTACGTTTTCAAAAAAAGAAGGAGGTTCATTTCCACTATATTTTATTTTTTATTTTACGCGATTACTCCATTATTTGTGAGCCGATTTCCGTAATTCTTTTTTTATTGGAAAGGCGATGCCTCAATAGTAGTTCCTTTCAAATTTGAGGAAAACGTAACCGATTTCAACAAAATTTTGAGGTCGATTTTTTAATAAAATTGTGATAATTAAGATTGTCAAAGAACCATTGACTTACAAATAAATGAACGACGGGTCTAATACAAAAACCACGAAAAAAATGTCCCAAGTCAACCTATTTAAACGTGACATGTCAAGGAATATGAAAAAGCTAAAACGTTGAATTTAAATTGTAATGTCATCGCAGTACTGTGTAATTTTGCTTGCTTCGCTGTCAGTCGAACAAACGAAGACTAAAGCGTGAATGACGCTCTGTATAAGATTTTAACGCCCTATAAGTTCGGACACTTTTTAGCGCGGACCCGACGTCCATATAATTGTAAGTCAATGTAAAGAGCAATCGAAATATCTACCGGAGTTAGTCCAACATTACTTAATATATTCAAAACTAATGACAGATAATTCTTATTACATACTAAACTCCTATCATCTCTAATTTAAAGCTAAATGTTACGCGTTAGTTTTCTTTCAACTCCTCAGTGATAATAAACATTTTTATTTCATTACCAGTATAAACAGGTCTAGTAAAAACTCTGGCTGCTATGGGTGCCGTGTGTCATCCATTATACATTTCCAGTTTAAAAATGACATGAAATGAAATGACCTTATGATTACATCTAGTAATGTCTCAGACAATTACACTTATTACCGTCATCACCCGCTCACGCGATGCGTTCCTCCTACCGCAAAATGGCAGGTATTTGGTTTCGCAAATTAGAAAAGCATTCAGTTTAAATACAAGTTTTTATAAACAAAAATTATTATTCTGCATTGCTAAATAAATACCCTCCGTACTACCAACAAAAACATCTCAAATAAAGTGCAGTAATACACCGCAAATCCCGCACTTAAAAAGCACTAATGAAATTTTTGGTGTACTTGGATTAATATGATAATATTCCGTTTGAGTGGTTCTAACGTTTACCATGAAATTACTCCTTAAAGTATAGTTTATAAACATTTATATTCATGGTAAACTTAAAAAACGCTCCTTACGGTATGTTTTCAATAAATAAACACCGAAATCACCAGCCCAAACAATAACACACACGATTGTCGTGATTTTTCAAGTTGTTTATTTTTTTAAATGACAGACCCAGACATTAAAAACTTTATTTAAACAATATTTGTATGGCCTACATTTATTTCTCTCTTGCGTTTAGGTGTAATTAGTGGTTGTCTATGAATGTATCCATGGCACCCGCGACACAGGGTTTACCTAGCGTGGGGCTGTGAGTTTAAAAATCACTAAATACAAAGATTATAATTTTTGTATCTAAACGATTTCAGACATCATGGAATTCAAATGAGATCTGTTAAGTCAAATAGGAAGAAATAATAAATGATTCTAATTTCATAAGCAAATTATCCCTTTAAATACGTTGCAAATATTAAAAATAATATCTATATTCTCTCGAGTATTCCAATAAAACAGTTATCTGTTTTATTGGAATACTCGAGAGAATTAATACCGTTTAATTTACTAGTAAGGCTTTGTTCAATCC